CACTAAATGGGATCAACTCTCTAGCTTCCCCGATGGAGTCGCCATCCGTCGCCGTCGTCCCTTTCCGACGTCCGAGGACGTCTCGAACGTTTATGCGAGCGGTCGCGAAAAGATGGTTTAGACTCGCGTATTTGTTTTAAAATGTGTTCATTGCTTCCGAGGTACCTGACAATTGGATTATCCTCTAATAAAAGCAAGGTTTTCGAAAAGGGGTTCTTATGGAGTCGCCACCAATGTTTTGACCATAAACATTGGAAAAGGATAAAAGGCATTGATTTTAATGAAAACCAAACTTGGCCATTATAACCAGAGTTAGGTAAGGGAGTTAGTTACGTGTGGGGAAGGTGTTAGCACCCCACAACGCCCCTTTCGGGTTCCCTATGACAGATCAATTCGTTTAAAGAGAAGACTTCGAGAAATTACGCGATTACCCTATTTTATTGCATAATATTGAAATGGCTATCTACATAATTTTATATAAATAAAGCTAAATAAAGCAATAAAAGAGATATTAAAATGGCTATCTACATGATTTTATTCTACATGACGTAATAAATAAAGCTAAATAAAACAATAAATAAAACAATAAAAGAGAAGGGAATTGAAAAGAACCTCCGTAGCAAGCTTTATATTGAGAATCTCGAACTGTGAGGATGCGTTTTGGCAACCCCTCTTTCTACACAGACTCTCCTCACCAATACAAGATCGACTCCACTAAAAATTTAAAGAAGAATCAAATGCCGGAATATAATTCCTTAACCGATTGTTACCTATTTAAGGCAATCGGAAAGATCATTCGAGAGAGGGAGAGAAGTAGACAAGTGCTCTGAGTTTTCTAAGTGTTTCAGAGCTCTCTGGAGTGTCTGTTCTGTTCAAAAAGTGGCAAATGAGCCTCCTATTTATAGTTTTCACAGCTGGCGCGCTTTGGGACGGCCGTCTGGGTTGGGACGGCCGTCTGGACTGGGATGGCCGTCCCAAATGGCAATTTTACACAGGGCGAGACCACCTGGGAACCCGGGACGGCCATCCCACTTAAATTGGGCTTTGGGACGGCCGTCCCACCTTTGGGACGCGCGTCCCACTTGATTCTGGCAGGTTGGGAAGGCCGTCACAACTTTGGGACGGCCGTCTCGACCTGTTTTGTCCAGTTTTCGCGTTACGGGACCACGGGAAGCTTTCTTTTCCTGTTTTGGACGTCAGTTGATGCCGATAGGTGTCTGTTGAAGCTTTATCTTCATACAGGAAGTCTTCTTGGCTCTTATTTGTAATGCTGGACGAGCTTTATCTTGTTATGGGTGATCTTTTTGTCTTTATTTGAGAAACCGGCAAAATTAGGGGTCTACAGTAAGTATAGGTCGGATGTTTCCGTGAGCAGTAAGCAGCAGATCTCCGCTTATTGATTTATTGATTTTTGGAAAGTTGGTGGCCGCCTGTGAATTCAAGGCAAGGGGCGGCCTGATTCGACATTGTTGTTTACTCTGATCCGGTCGAGGTGGTTTTCGTTTACCAGCGCGTAGGCGGTCTAAGTTCCTATGACCGAGTCTTTCTGGCCCCTGTGAACATCTTTTCTTAATGTATTAAAGAGGGCCTCTCTAACCGGTGAAAAGTGGTGGGTGTCCACTAACGGCCATTCCTGGCTCGGCTCCGATAACGCAATTCCGGAAGGAGTCGGTAGTTGGGCATTGGATCCCTTCGGACCTGGAGAACGTGTGACGCTGGGTTGGGGTTTGGTGAACCAACTGGTCGCTCCTCTTGTTGAATTATCGGGCCCCTTTTTCTTTCGTTGCCTAGGTTACACCTTCGGAATACCCCAGAAGGGAATTTTTATCTATTTCCCTCAATCTTCACTTTACGCCAGGCCTCCCAGTTCAAATACGTCATAAGGCGTGGAATTAGACCAAGGGGAATCTCCATAGGAACTAGTCCCTCAGATTTCGCACGTAGGAGATCGAGACACAGCCCCACCCCAGGGCTATGAGGAAAGATGTAGATCGATCGCCTCAGATAGACAACTACATAGAGGGTCTCTACAAGTCTATATATTCTTTTTTATTTCGTTCCCCCCGTAAGATCACCAATGAGGTCTGCAAGTTTCACATCTAAGTAATACCCGATCCGATAGTTTACGATATATATTTAACAACATTCTAAGCTAAGAAAGGAGATTTTTAGATATCGGTAGTTGTCCGGTCGTACCCAAACAGTAAGATTCCAGAGGAAAATGCACCTAAGATCAAATATT